CCAGCTTCATGGACATGTCTTGAATGTTGCTGTGTAGCCATGTTTCAATGAAAACAAAAGATGCAGCAGTTGTTCATTATACTCACTCTGCCTACCCAGAAGATCCTGACGGCAGTAGCAGAGTTTCACCACTTGAAAAGGCAGAAAAAACTAAAAACGACAACATCACCTACTATATAGCTGGCTATCTGTGGTTATACCCATCAAAATAGTCCGAAAGTCTCTCAAATGAGCCCTACAGAGCCTAAAGGTACGCTGTGAAGTTTTTGACTGCTAGTTGTGTCATCAAGCTGTTGGTTTATGCATGGGTCCCATTTTGTATATGTCTTGAACAAAATAGGATACATAATCCTGCAGAAGGTTTCTCACTATTCCACTGAACTACAGGTGCATGTGCAAAGGAAAGGAAGAATGTGCATACAAAGACAAGGGGAAGAAGAAAACTGCAAGATAGCAAACACAGCTGTAAACAATACAGGATTTAAAATGGTTTTGCAAATTATTTATGAGGAAGGAAATGCATCTAAAATATTTGGGTGTTGGGTGTGGTCACTGGTGTGGTTACTGGTGAATCACTGCACAACACTGACCACATCCAATCCCACTGATCCGAGATGGCTGTGGTCAGAGGTGAAACAGACTTTAAGCTTTCAACCAGAGTCAGCAGTGAAACATTGGTTCAGCCTGCTGATGACATATTCGTTAATTCCACACATTTCTTCAGTCGTTGTGAAAAACAAGTAAACTGCTCCTAGCAGCTACGACAGCAGTTTATATGCTGCCTGAAAATACCATCACTGCTGATTGGTTTGGATAAAAACAGATAATCCAAACTGAATGAATGACATGAAAAAAAGTGATTATTTGACAGCTGCTGCAGAATTTCCTTTTTTATGACTATATACTGTAAGGTATTATTATGTGGCTGGTCCTACAGGCTCTACCTACTTCACAACCATATAAGGTGAAATAAGATACTGTTTTTAAAGGCTCCAACTACACTATAGCTGTGACGTGTCACTTTTATTCACTCACTACACAATACATACTCAGTAGATGACTCTAAAGTGAGCAGTAAACTGAGACACTTCAGTCATTTCAACTATATCAGAAATCAGTCCCTAGTTACTATACAGTGCAGGACATTTACTTATTTTATTTGAGTGTCTTAATTCTGACAGTGTAAATGTATCCACAATATAGTGCACTCAAAATTTCAACAATGGAATGAAATAAAATGAATAATAAAGTAATGAAAAAATACTTTCTGCCAACATTCTCACAATGCAATGTTTTGTGTTATATATATATGAGAAAATTACAATTGCATGACTCTAAAGCTGATTTACAGTGATTAGGCTAAAAGAAATACATACACTAGTCACATATGCATAATGAATGTGCTTTTGGATATAATGACATCCAGAAGACATCTGTATACCACTATAGAAACTTGATTTATAGAAAATGATTAAAAGAAAGCATGTTTGAGATAGGTCTTTTTAAATAATAGCCATAATCCACAAAAATAATATTCTTGCTTTTTTTCTCAAACACACGCTCATCTTTGCATGGCATGGGAGCACAACAGTGAGTGGGTGAACAGCACTGTCCTTTGGTGAGAGAGTTAGAGATGAGGGAGCGGGAGGTAGAGAGACAGAGATGGAGAGAGAGGAGTGACTGAAATCTAAAGATTTTTGATGTAAAAAGAGATGTGTCTGAGTCTGTGTCTTTTGGCAGATGCACACGTGTGAGTGTGTGTCCGTTCTCTGCTGCCTGACTGTGACCATGCTCTGATAGCTGCACATTTACACACATTTTTATAATTTCCTGGTTCACAGTGAGACAACAGCTGTAATTGCTCTTCACATCTCAATGCTGTACACTTCAATAATCAATTATCAATCAAATCTGGCCCCTGGTGTCAGATGTGAACGTCCTTGATTTTTCTGTCTTTGTTCTCTGACTCCTACTCAATGACCTCCACTCAGCCTATGTTGTGAGTGGCTGTGGTTTGGTATTCACAGACAGCTGATAAGTATTTTTTCCCATGTCCAGGGTCCTCATTGATTTACTGAGGTAGTGGTCCCCACAGATTTCACAGGGGATGTCTCAAGCTGCAGCAATTGGTCAATGAATGAATGACGCCAGATAATCAATCAACAAAAATGTCAAAATCCAAATTCAAATTTCAAGACATTCGCCGGTTTTATTTATTATATATTTTTGGATTGTGGACTGTTTGGTGACTAAAACAAACAATTTGAATACATCATCTTAGAGCCTAAAGGAGTTTAAATCGAAAAAACAACTGGACTTGATTATTTGTCTGGGAAGACGTTTCACCTCTCATCCAAGAGGCTTCATCAGTTCATGTACGCATCTGACCAGGCTGGGACTGGTCCAACTTTCTGGTGTGGAGACCCAGGTATTTAACCTCTTGTGGGCATTCACAAGGCTGATGATGTCACTGGTTCCCTTTTGTGCTCCAAGTGTCAACGACAGTCGTTTGCATGACTGTCGTTGGTGGAAAGTTGGTTTCGACTTCGTTAGTTCTCTATTGTGTTATAACGACAGTCGTTGGAGTCACTTGCCACTTGTGAACAGTTGTTATTCTTTGAGGCTAGATTGTTGAATCTCCTGGGAAGGGATGACAGGGCAGCATTGTAAATTGGAGATAGGTGGTGTCTGAGACCTTCTCCCCTGTTGAGGGATGGTTTCTCTACTTTTACATAGATGGCCTCTTTTACTCCTCTTTCGAACCACCTGTCCTCTCTGTCTAGGATGTGAACATTGCTGTCCTCAAAGGAGTGGGCTTTCTCCTTGAGATGTAAATGGACAGCAGAGTCCAAGCCTGAGGAGTTAGCTCTCCTGTCTTGGGCATTCTTACCTATTATAAACAAAACAATTAATTAATCAGGAAAAAATTGGCTTATTAATCAAGACTAGAAAAAGTTGTTAGTTACAACCCTTGTGATGTCATAATGATGTCATGCAACCCTCCAGTCTTCCTCTCAAGCAGTGTTAGGAGGGACATACCAGCAGAAATCTTGAAGTGTTGAATGGTTTGTGTTAAGTGTTGACTCCTTGTTCTGGCAGTCCAGTCACATAAGAGAGTCCTACTGGGATGTTTCTGGTGATCCCAGTTGATTTAGCGGTGTCCATCCTGGTCTTTGTCTGGGAGTCTCCTCACCTCTTATTGTGGTGAGAATAAAAATTAAGATATTGGTCCAAGTGAATACCTCTACATTCTGTTCGCGAACATCAGCATTCACAACTGTTTACTCACCAGTCTAGATGAAACATTGTGAGTTCAGCATCAAACTTCAGTCCGTTACTCACTAAGATCTGTCTCCAGAGGTGGAAAGCAAAGCCAATGGTAACTCTTGTTTTGCCTGTATTTTGTATCATTTCAATTATACTAGAGTTAGCATGCTAACCAGTTAGCAGCTGGCTCACTTTCTGATACTTAGTGTGGTGTCCAGTCTCCCCTGAAGAAGTAGCTGCTCAGGGGGTGTATTATAGCCTCTTGTATTGTAAACACAACGATGGATGAAGCTCTTGGCAAGTGACCAACACGACAACCACTCTTGGCAAGAAAAAAACATTTAGTGGCAGAGAAAACTCACATTTAATGCTCTCATTATCATTAAGATTAAGGCAGCTTATATGAACCATTCAGACATGTATAGGACCATCCTATCTAGAGCAGACAAATCGCTGCGAATGAGGATAGAAAGAGGACTGTACAGCAGGTCTGGTGGTGGTGCATGGGGGTAAATACAAACTGTGTGACTTCCTTCATCCATCCATTTTTCATTACAATTACTTCAAATTGTGTCCTTTATTCAGTCATCCCTCCAATGCTGCTGTGGTGTGACCTGTGTGTAGTTGAGACTGTGGCACACATACAGTATATATGGGCAGACAGACATTAGGCAGACAAACAGATGTATGCTGATTAGATCTCAGTTACAGCAGGATTAGCTGCTGCGATATGTGAGCAGACAGGTTTTTAATTGATTGTAACACTCTGGGGTAGGACATGTAGTGCTGTTACTGTCTGACTGACTAACATTTTTAGACACTAGTGGCTTAATGACAAAACCCTTTTTTTTCTTTTTTACCAAAATTGTCATTGTTGTTGCTTCACATTCTTCTGCTCAGTACAATTCTGTTCATATTGGATGATTTTGCTCCTTGGTTTTTGCCCATCACCAACAATCAGTGCCAGTGCAGAAATAGTATGCCCTTTATATAACATGGAGTGTGGAGGTTCAGGGTGGTGGATGACTGTGAAGCACTTCTCACATCTGATCAGAGTTCACATCCTGTAACTACACTGCAGTTTCCATGTACAGATACTGTAGAAAAAGACAGGATTTTAAAAATGATGGAACTGAATGTTAAAAAAAGGCCACTGATCATAATCCAGTTTGAAAAAATCATTCAATATCTACATTTTTTTTTCTGTTCTGGTAACTGGACTGTTGGTGCCTACCACAACAGTGCTGAGGCTCAGTGATTAGCCCAGAGTGTTTTTAGTTACAGGACCTCAGACATTCAGCTTTTCCTCACACAGCACAGAATGTTATAGCATAGCACTGATACCATGTTATAAATATATAGCATTTAGCAGAGCATACATTGACAATATCACTGCAACATTACACTGTGGCTTCAGCCTTCAGCTTTCTGTTCATCACTCTAATATCTGATTCATTCTATTTTCAGTTTGTATTGTTAATTTAATTTATTTACAGTGTGAAAACTACACTGAGAGAAATCCACAGCACTGCCCCCTGGAGGGAATTCCCTCCTATGGTTTTAGCTAATAGGTTTACTGGGTCAAAACATTTTGATGAGGATGATGAGGATGCTTTGTAACATCTAAAATGCCACCTAAAATGAGGATTAACAAATATGTATCTTTTGTGTGTGTGTGTGTGTGTGTGTGTGTGTGTGTGTGTGTGTGTGTGTGTGTGTGTGTGTGTGTTTAGGATGATGAGGTAGTCCTGCAGTGCTCAGCTACGATCCATAAGGAGCAACAGAAACTCTGTCTGGCTGCTGAAGGCTTCGGAAACAGACTCTGCTTCCTTGAATCCATCTCCAACTCCAAGGTACTGACATCCTGTTACTCTGTTACATGACATAAATAACCGAACACCAAATATGTAATAAATTAGAAGAAAAAAACCCAAATCAAATGAGTGGAGAAACAAAAACAATGCAAATGGTTCCATAGAAGGCAGAATGTGAAGGTTGTAGTACATGATTCATTGTCATACTCATCAAAAAGTCACCAGATCTCAACCAAACTGATCTCCTACAGAAGACAGCTGGAGGCAGATTGGGGGAGGCAACAGAAAGAGCCTCAGGTTGGATCTAAAACAAGTGGGAGGAGTTGAGCTGGAAGCCAGGAGGAGATGGGCAGTGACTGGCCACTATGGGAGGACGTTCAGGTTCAGGGTCGAAAGCTTCAGTCATAAGAAAGAGACTGACGGTGTTAGTACTGATCTTACACCACTGCTGCAAAGCTCTCAGTGGTCAAACTGTGACTGTCCTGTGTAAAAGTATGAAAAATGTAGATGTGTGAAGTCACCGATAAATCATGTGTTTGTTGTTTCAGAATGTGCCTCCAGATCTGTCCATCTGCACCTTTGTCTTGGAGCAGTCACTATCAGTACGAGCCCTTCAGGAAATGCTGGCCAACACAGAGGAGAAAGCTGAGGGGGTGAGTGTGAGGACACACATGCACACACGCACACGCACACACACTCACACACACACACACACACACACACACACACACACACACACACACACACACACACACACGTGGGTTGTACAGTGGGTTGTTGTCAGATAAGGGCTGAGACACCAGCCTGATGAGACACACACGGGAAAAGGTGGTTGACACATGAAGGAGGCTGCTGAGAAGTTAATTACACTGAAACACTGTGTTTCCAACAGTTCTTCAACAGTTATACAAGCTACTCTGATCCCTTTTGTGCAGCTTCTGTTTGACTGTAATCAGTCATTATTCCAAGCAGGAAGGCATCATACTCTTTTTATACATTTGATAGAAGTGATTATATTTAAGCATTATATTTACATTAAAGATAAATCTGAATTGCTCTTTGGAGCAGCCATTGTATTAGTTTTGTGTAACTACAGATCAACTACTATGCATTGTTTTAATTTGTTGATTCTGTTCACTGATTTTGTTTTATTTTCTGATATAACTGTATTTTATTTGTATTTGTTTTATGTGTAATATGAGTCCAATGGTAAACTGATTTTAGAAAATGTGCTATTCAATTATGTTCTTTCCACAAACCGCCACACTGATCAAACATATCTGCCATCTACTTCTGCTTAGAGAGTAACTAGAATCCGAACCACCAACAAAACTGTGCTGTATTTTCTAAATGATGAAGCAACAGACATGGAGAGGACATAGAAATACAGCCTTTTCTTTTGTATTCAAATGTGTTTATATGAAGACATGAAGAATTAACCAAAACCTTAAAACAACACGTTCAAACAACAACAAAAAGATCAAATTATCATAGACAATAAACCGACCCTGCAGTCTTCTGATTTACATCAAGATAAAACACTTTACTTTGTGTAACCAAACCCACCGGTTTTCTCTTGCACTGACTGGAATGCTGACCATTATCATTTTGGAGGCATTAAAAAACAACTTCCCTCTTGATTTGTTAACTGCGGTTAAAAGTAGTATTCACTCTTTTTCTAACCATCATTGTCCACACCGCACTGACTCTCTATAACTCCTTTGCTTTTCCTGTAAGAGCCACAGAATGTAATTTTTCTATTAAGCTTTCAGATCTTTGCAGACATACCATATTTCATTAAAAAATAATTTAAACATTTAGTAGTATCATTGACTCCATTTGTCTTCAGATGTTATTGTAACAGGATCCTCTGTCAAACACATAGCACTTGCAGAATGAGAGAATATGAGCTCTAGTGGTAGGTAGAAACTGAGCAATGTTGAAACCTTGACCTCAAACATTCATCAAAATATTTGGATTGCTCTAGTGAGCAGCTTAAGAAAAGCCACACAGAGCTGCAGTGCAGATGTGATGTTGTTTTAGTGGAGGACGATGTAATGATGAGATGGGAGTCCTGTCAAGTTCATCAGGACCCACGGTATTTTAATGAAGTGAGGTCAGAGTTATTAATTTCTCCTTTCTCACTTTCGACAGCAGCACAAATATCCACACAGTATAAGCATGCACTTACACACAAAAGTATAGCTACGCAATAAAACATAAAGTATGCGTGTGTACAAAAGAGCCAGTTGTCATGATCTGCAGCCTCGTCTCCAGAACCTTATCATGTCTCTCAGGCCCAGACCTGCAATTGTAATTCCGCCGACCAGATGTCTTCAGACTTTCTGTTCCCACTTCCACCTGCTCACCTGTTTTCCATCCCCAATTACCTGAGTTTCCGTCCCCACTCACACATGAAGCCAGTTCCTTCATTTCCATCCATCCATCCATTTTCTACCGCTTATCCTCTAGTAGGGTCGCGGGGGGGGCTGGAGCCTATCCCAGCATCCTTTCGGGCGAGAGGCGGGGTACACCCTGGACAGGTCGCCAGTCCATCGCAGGGCACACAGAGACAAACAACCATTCACTCTCACATTCACACCTATGGTCAATTTGGAGTAACCAATCAGCCTAGTCCCCATTTGCATGTCTTTGGACTCCTTCATTTCCCATTTTGCATATACCATTTTCACCAATTCTTTGTTGGATCATCTGCTCATGTTTCTGCTCATGAGCCTTCTGTTTTCCCTGTGTTCCTGCTGCCAGCTTATCATCTTGTCTGCATGTAAGCCTTCAATGCATCATCAAGTTTATGATTCTGTGTTTGGGTTCTCCCTGCCTGTGCTGTCATCAGCAACACACCAATCTTTGTAGTCTTGCTGCATGATGGGCTGACGATGAATCCTGCTTAAAGTTACAGTTGCTTCATGCACTGTAAGGTAGCCATAGGTGAAGTTTTAAGAGGGGAGTGACTAAAGTGTTCACTTGATTCAGCTAAATTTGTCAACACATTTAACTTCAAGTGTCAGATGAGATTTAATACACTGTTTTGTATACTGTACATGTGTCTCTATGGGCTACATTACAAATCATTCTTGGTTTTCCTGGGCTACATGCAAAACTAGGTCACCCATACTCCAGTCCAGATGGTGGTGGTGATTGTTGGTTACAAAAAAAAGCATGAAAGAAGAGTTTGTACACTTCAGCAGTTTAGATAACTGTTTAATAACTACCAACAATCTAGCACAAACACATGGAAGACTCATAAATGGATTATGAGCAAAAGATATGCTTTTGTTGTCTTTGGAGGCTCTCCTGCTGCTCCCTCACCCATATACATCAGTGCTCTCTTACCCACACTGATCATTCAGTGAATGCATTGATCAGGGACCAGATAAACATTACAAAGGTGAACTGTATTACACCTTCTTATTTTAGTATAATTTCACTGTCAGTTACACGAGAGGGGTAAAGATTAGATACATGTCTCTGCCAAACTGGTCTATTTATACCTTGTCAAACTCTTCCCAAGGGAGTTTGAGCAATCACATCTAAACTCATCCTCTTGGATCTATTTCTAAATGTAAATAGATCCTCTTTTATATATAAGAAAGCCAGACAGTTCTGCAGGGTGTTATATGTTAACAGGTGGTGCTGAAGTGTGGTGCCTGATCATTTCCTGCATCATACTAGTTCCTTTTTAAATTAAAAGAATTGATGAATTAACCTGTGAATTTCAAAATATCAGCTGCAGTTTGTTCTACAGCTAAAGTTACTTCACTTACAAAAATTATATTACTGGGTTTAACTTTTTCTTATCTCACTGTGAAGTAAGTGATACCTGTTAAACCAAATTTTTACATTCACCTTAACAGTTGTTTTGTCAGAAATGTGTAAATTTAGTATTAGGAGGATGTGGGAAGATGTAGCATAATTCTACTGCCAGTATGAAACTGTGTTCAGCTGAATAAACTGTCTCACCTGCCTGTTACAAAAACATAGTTCGTGTTATCTGACGTGGGGCTGTGTGAGGTACTCATGAATAGTCGTTACATTACTCACAGTGCGCTCCCAGTTAGGAAAGTCGGCCACTCACCTAGCAGAGATGTGCTGCTGTGGGTGGGGCCACCAGGAAAAAGGTGTTTTAGACACTTTTAAAATCCGATATCCATCTAAATCTACGCTTCATGTAGAATATTTTCAGCGGTTTATCTTCCCGTGAAAACAGCACTTTCCTTTGGCACTACATATTTCAACCGCTGAACTACCGTATTCCTACGCACAAGCGCACTGAGTGCACTGTATTACACCGCAGCCACAGGTCATCTGAGTGAATCAGAAAGCTGCGTAATCCATATGCGTTTGTCACCCTGCCGGGTGATCCCGGTCGGTTTTTCTAACTGGGGGCACGCTGAACATAATCTACTGTGGGTAATGTAACGACTATTAACGAGTACCTGACACAACCCTACGTCAAAAACCCAAACTATCCCTTTTAACTACGTACACACCCTCAACCAATTGGCAAATACGTAGAAAAAGACAATTTTCCTATTGTTGCATCTTTAAACAATGCCACCAGCTACCAAACATACACAGCCATGTTCATGACATGATTGTTTTTTTGTTTTTGTTGTTTTTTTTAAATTAAGGAACAATTGTGTGAAATGTTAGTTTGCTGAACAATAGCCATCCACTTACTGGATTATACTAAAGGGTATGATGGGAAGTTGAATCCCCCCCCCCATACTTTTTTCTTGAAACTCGGACAAAACTTGGCTGAAGGACTAGAGGCTGTGCAAATGGCTGACATACACAGCAACACAACTAACTGCTGTTCACCATAAAATAATTACAATTATTCCCCATAAAACCACAACTTGTTTTTATATTTATGGTTGTGTACATGATGACAAACAAACAAGTTGATAGACATGTTGCAACAAGTTGATAGATGTGTGATAGTGGTAAATGTCTTTCTTTCTTTGGACAGTGAAGATAGCTGTTTTGCCCTGCTTCCAGTCCTAATGCCAAGATAAACTGATCACCTCATACCTAATACACAGACATGAGTGGAATCTATCGTCTCATCTCACTGAGAAAGTAAAGAAGAATATTACCCAACCATATCTTCAAATGAAAAGACATGAAAGTACAAATACCTTGAATATATTAACTAAGCTGTCATAACCTCCTCATGCAACAGTCTTATCTGTTCAATAGATGTGTGTGTGTGTTTTTATGTGTCATTTCTAAAATGACTACGACAACTTACTTTCTCCCCCTCTCTCTCATTTCCACACAGCATGTAGATGTGGAAATATGGGTAGGTGCCTCCACTTGCTGTCTGTGTTCGTCATGGGTGTTTTTGTCCTAATGTTGGTCATTACGGTCACTGTCATGAGCATTAACAGTATGAGCACTAGCAGAGTTGCCATACACATTTGTGTTATCTATTGCGTGTCAACTTGAGGATGGAGAATTAAGATATGACCTCATCAATGTGGAACACCTCGCTACTGATATAGAGACAGCACTCTGTAAAAGAGGGTTGCCAAAAAACAGAGTTGCTCTCCCAAGGAGGTTCTCTTTCAGAGAGGCAGACAGAACCATAGCAGCCACTGGCAAATGGATCGACCTCCTCCCTCATCAGCAAACTCAAGCTGCATGATTCAGCAGAGCAGAGTGCAGTACAACAACATAAAAACACAACAGAGAGAATCCCCCTGAAGTAAGGAGAGGTGTTGAGATACATTGTCCCATTATTTGGATTCACCCTGGTCTAGTCATCTCTCCAAGTCTTTAAAATACAGCAGTAGCAGCTTAACTACACTATGAGCAGCTGACCGGTGGGTTTATGATGGAAAAATTGTCCTTCGTTGTGCTCCAACTTTCACTTGTACACTTTTAAAATTCTTATGCTGTTGCTGTATCTTAGCTCTCATAGCTAGACCAAAATTTGGAAATGTTGCATTCTCAAGTGTCACTGTGGCAGTGTCCACATAGTTTCAATGAGTATGAGAGAATAAGACTGGGTTGTTTCACTTGTGGAACATACTTGAAAGGCCAACCAGAGTTGCACAAGTTGCACAGTGCATCATTGGATGACATTCAAAAGCAAAGTATGAACAGAAATTAATCTCAATGGTGTCAAATGCATGTTTTGTGATCCACAAATAAAAATATAGTGTTCGATGTGTTAGTAATTCACAGAGTATGGTGTTCACAGATGCATTGTTCAATCCACACACACATACTAATCAATTTGATCTAATGTAAAACAATATTACTACTTGTCACAGTTCTAGTCTTTTATTATTCATTCATTATTGTCTGTCTGTTTTCCCATTCACTTACTCTTCTGTGGTTCCACATCCTGCTGCTTGCATTTGCCCTGCAGTAATGTCAGCCCTTCCCACCGTTCCCAATCACTTAATTTCCAACACCCTCCTACTAACCTGCTCTGCATTCTCTCATTAGCGCCATAATATTTGCCCAATTCCATTCAATCCCTGCCAGACTAGCTTGGCTTTCCTAGCTTTCCAGCCTTTTTTCTACCTGTTTTTGACTCTGCCTTAGTCCAGCCTCTTTTTAGTCTCTGTGCCTGTGTTTTCTGTTGCCAACTACACTCGTCCCTCATCTTCTCAGCTTTGCTTGTTTTTGCCAACATAACCTAAGAAAAGGTGAACGGTTTGAACTTTAACCTGAGTCTCTGGGTGGTGCATTTGAGTCCTACTTGTTTTTACTGATGTTGATAAAAACTGGAAATAAATAAAAAGCTTTGCCGGCATTTATGTGCAGGAAGCTTTAAATGTAAATTTTAGCAGATTATGAACTATAGCCTCACAGCAAGAAGGTTCCGGGTTCGAGTCCCGGCTCGGACACGGGGTCTTTCTGTGTGGAGTTTGCATGTTCTCCCCGTGCCTGTGTGGGTTCTCTCCGGGTACTCCGGCTTCCTCCCACAGTCCAAAGACATGCAAATGGGGACTAAGCTGATTGGTTACTCTAAATTGACCATAGGTCTGAATGTGAGAGGGGATGGTTGTCTGTCTCTGTGTGTTTGCCCTGCGATGGACTGGCGACCTGTCCAGGGTGTACCCCGCCTCTCGCCCGAAAGGATGCTGGGATAGGCTCCAGCCCCCCCACGAACCTACTAGAGGATAAGCGGTTGAAAATGAATGAATGAATGAAAATGAACTATAGCCTGTAGCCTATATTAGCCTAGCCAACGGTACATTCTAATCTATGCACTCAAAACAGTCCTTTAAACACTCACTGGCCTCCGGGGTTCAGTTCCTGAATGAGCGAGTGGTTGCAGCCTGCCGTGGTACACAAGGTTTGCAGGAAGGCTGAAGAAAAATGATCTGATCTGCCAAGTGGTGGTAAAGCTGAAGCAGTGTAGGCCTCCTTGACATTTGCATACAACAGAGTGTCTTATTTTCCCTTGTGATCCCACAAGGGAAACATACTGAGTGAAGCCAGTCAGGTGAGAGGTGAGAGTGACATGGTTAAAATCCCCCGATGTTGCAATGAATGCATCAGGGTGGTGGGTCTGTACTCTTGCATTCTCGTGAATGAACAACATTGGTGACGATGTGTGGGAACTCTCTCGGTACATAGTACAGTCTAAGACCAACTGCCAACAGTTCAATATCCCGACAGCAGATCTTCTCCTTCACTGTGATGTGACCGGGGTTGCATCTATTGTTCACAAGCAGAACCAGTCCTCCACCTTTATTCTTTCCACTTGCACACTGCTAATGCACTTAAAAAAAACAATGAGCTACAAGGACTTGCTGCCACTCTGCCAGCGCATCATTCAAATATATGTGCGTGTGTGTGTTTGTATAGCCTATATTTTTGTGGAGTGGACAATACATTTGTGAACACCATAAAGTAAGCACCATAAATTATGCTAGTCACAAATAGCTGTCAGTAGCTGTTCCAAATGGGTGGGTGGGTTGGTTAGTTGGTTGAATTTGTTGTGATCCGCTGCCTTTCTCCAAGGGTGCTTGGACTACAACAGATTCCTGTCCCCTGTTGTCTCTGTTCATTATCAGTAGCTGGTAACATGATGGCTGTAAGTACTCCACATCAGAGTTAGTCCAACTCAGTGGACACATTACTAGACCTTGGTCTCACATGCCTTCTTCGTTATGTTTGTTTATGCTGAGACCTGTATCCCCTCTCTCTGAGGCCTGTACTATGAAGCAAGTTCAACATACTCAGGATAACTTTTAGTTATCTGGCTTGACTAAACCTAACATTGACCATCCTGATAACCTGTACTACGAAGCAGGTTATCACCTGGCTCAGTTAACCCTGGGTTTACCTATCCAGCTACAAGCACGTTCATGTGAAAGAGGTGGAGTTGTTAATTATAAGCAACATCGTCAGAACCATGAATGAAGTACTTTATATGATATGAGAAGAAACGCTGATACTTGCCAGTAAGTTCAGTTATAGCAACATCCAAAAGTGATATTCAACAAGATGAAATGTTAACAATATGATCACATGACTGGGATAAAAATATTACTTCCATGTCTAAATATAATTTCTATTAAAGTCAGAAAAACTATTCCACTGATATTTTATATTTTAAATCTACTGCTCCTTATTATTGATCACTTTGTTGTAAACTCTTTTGTCCCTGTCAGGATCCGGTAGGCATGATGACTCTGTTTTTCCAGTGATTTGATTGGTCAGTAGTTTGGCTGTTGACAGGTTTTGATCTGATCCTCTGAAATTAACCTGTGCTGGAGCAGGTTAGGAGTTCAGCGTAAGTTACCATGGTAACAAGTGAACCACCGTTGTAGGACTGAAAACCCAGAGTTAAACCTGAAGTTACCTCGGGGGATTGTGGGGAAAAAAAAAAAATCTTTAGTTTCTGGTGCACACCAGACAGTTTTGCATGCGCACATTAAAGTAGACTTATTTATGGGAGGCCGATTAGGGTGAAACACCATGAAAGTGTGCACATACACATCAAATTAACCACATACACAAATAAAACTTTACATACACACCAAAAACATGCATATACACACTACGCATTCACACACCCCAGCGTCTTAACACAGCGTGATATAGGCTGCTTGTGTGTGTTAATGTACTGACTTATGGATCCATATGCGCTCAGTGCGTTGGCACTGAGCGCACGGGGAAGTTTCTGGTGCCCACCAGAAACTCAAAGATTTTTTTTTATTCCCACAAGTTTTTTTTTTTTTCCCCCATGTCCCTTTAGGGGCTCTGTACAATGAGACACAGGTGCAACACATTAGGGGCAGGGTCGACAATCACAGGAAACACATGATGGCAGGAAGTGGAAATTTGGAACGAGAGGAGAGGTTAGGCACACACCAAAATAAATCAGGAAGTGAAAACCAAAAATGACAAGACACATAAAAACATAACCTAAATCAGGACGGGACATGACACATTCATGATGCTTAAAATCCAGTTCTCAACAATCAACCACTTCTTCTCCACATTCTCAATTTTGATAGTAAAATTTTTGCTGCTTGACTGAGACACGGCAGCAACATAATGGCTTTGTGTTGCTCAACCAAGCCACACCCCCAGGCTTTGGATTTTGACCATGCATGAAAAAGGTCACATACTGGATTTGGCACTGCCCCCTCCCACCTGCTGAGCCAGGACTTGGCTGTCCCTGATCATCCTGCCATCCCCCCATTCCCGGCTTCAGCATCACCTGAAGTGTTCCATCGCTTATAGAAACATAAAAAAGCAGCCCTCGGAGACATGACTCTGACTCATTATGTTCCTACTGTGCCCTCTGATGACCTTGTGTTCCATTACTACAAAGTCCTCTCGTAGCTTGGATTCTCTTACCCCTCTTAAAACCTGGACTGTCTGTTTTTCAGATGTGTATTATATTCAATTCCACCCTTTCATTTGACACTTGCATAAATCCATCACCAAATCTGCTTTCCTCCGCCTGCCACCTGAGGAACATCTCTGTACATTGCCTCCTGACTCCATTGAAGAGATCCATGCATTTGTTATATCTCATGTGGATTATTGTAATGGGATCCCAATTGAAAGCCCTGGACAGACTCCAGTAATTCTAGAACTCTGCTGCCAGGGTTCTCACACAACACACCACACCCACCCTACAGCTTCTCCACTGGCTCCCTATGAAGGTTTGTGTGACATTTAAAGTTTCCTCCTCCACACCTATGATCCCTCTTGCACCCTCTGTTCAGAAAATGGACTGTATCAATTAGCAGTCCTTTTCGGTTTTTTATGTATTTTTTCTTTGCTTACATCTAATATGCTAAAATGTATTACTAAAATCCAGCATATAGATGTTTCTCTCATTTCCACAACTGATGATGAGTGCAGGTATTGGAGTGGTGTCAGGTGAGGTGGCTGGAGAAGGCAGAGTGTTGGTGGTAGCCCTGCAGCATCTCCAGTGCACACTGTGCCCCTGCTGCCCTGTCAGCACAGTCATGTGTTCACTGAAAAGATTTTGCCCCAAAAATCCATGAAAATGAATCAAAATTGTAGTTTGTGAAATATTCACATTGTCAGAAATCTTTGTTAGAAATCTACCAATGCTGAGAAATTTGATGTTTGTCATGGTAAATGACACTTTATAGGGCTTTTCTAGTCTTATCGAGTACTTAAAGCACTTGACATTAGGAGCCTCATTCACCTATTCACACACATTCATCTACACATACATACATACACTCTACCACACACACAGTCACACACCAATGTTACATTGGGGGCAATTTGGGGTTAAGTATCTTGCCAGGACTTGAACCACTGACTTTCCAATTGATGGACAACCTGCTCAACCTCTTGAGCCACAGCCGCCCATCATCACGTCACCATTTAGTTTGGTTGAAATGGAGAGAAATCAGGATATTTAGCATTAATATCCAAGACATGTGAGCCAGACTGTCCAGAATCTGCGACCTCAGGCATCTGACATCATCGCTGTGGTGGCTCCACAACTGACCGGGACCAGGACCAAGGTCCATGTAGAATCATGACTAAAACTATGTGTATGCACAAAGCCAGAAATATGCATACACATTCTTTTTGCCACAATTGTAAAGCCATGCATACGCATGGTTAGATGGTCTGATTGTAAAACTGAAGCACAATGTGCATCAGTTTACTTTAGTAAAATTGCAACAAATATAATGTCCTGTTTTACTCTGAACATCATTTATTGGGACTAGAGATGTCCTAATGAGGCTCCACACAGGCTCTAAAACTGTGATTAGTAAATAAAATGGTATGAAACAGTTTACAGAATGACTCACAATAAATAATAATGATATTAAATGCACAATATGTAACTTCAGCCTCTAAAGGTCTTTCAATTCAAAACATAACAAAAGACGGCATTGGATGACGTCATGAAATAGTGTCGGATCATGGGAGTTGTTGTCTTCACTACCATTACTGTAAGCTCCTCCCAGTTTGGTTTCCTTCAGTGTCAGTGGTTCAGGAAATCAAACAGACCCGGTGACTGTAACCCTGAAAAACACTGAATAAAGCAACAACAAACAGACCAGGGGAATAAAATCAGTAAATGAATAAAGCAGTTTCATTTAAAAAATCATTGATTCACAGACACTTTTTGGCAGACAGAGAATAGGTGGAAACTGAGACCACTTACCTTTGTTTCTTTAATAACTTATGAATCAGATGTTCCGCAGGTTTTTTTCTGGCAGCTGAATCATCAGCAGAGTTGTCCTCCTCATATAACAAATGCAGCAGGGGACTAAAACTGGTAAATAAATAAAGCAGTTTCACTTTAAAAATCAGAGATTCGCTGACAGTCTTTGGCGGACACAGGACAGGATGTCTCCAGCAGCTGAGAGCTGAGCTGCCTAACATTTCCCTGGCTATTTTCTCTCTTAAGATCCAGACGTCCAATGACGAAAATCCTTCATCTGGTTTATATATATAGTTGAAAATCACCAAGGTCTGAAAAGTGTATGTTGCTGGAAACCACAACTCTGACCAAGCGATAGAATATATAATGTCATTGACAGTTGACCAAATGACATATACTGTTACCATGATTAAAATCACAGATTTTTCTGCTTTGAGAATTGCTGGAAACATTTGGGAAAATGTAAGAACACAACTCGACAACATATATAACATAGGTCAAGTCATTTTTCGACATTTTAATGTGGTAAAGTTATATATTATAACTTTAACTGGTGCTAAAGGAAACATTTAGCAAACAAACACAATCATTTCCATTTAGGAAATGTAAAATTGTTATTGCTGTGTAAATGGCAAAACTTATAACAATAACAATGACTGCGAGCTCCTAGAAGTTGTTTTTTTTTTTTGATAAATTACATGTCTGGGCTTATTTTGTATTTTTACTTCACTGTAACTTGGATTACTCTGGAAAACTGTGTGTATACATGGTCAAAGTAACAAAGGTACCATATTCTGTGTTTATAAATACCAATTTATATGCGGAAAATGGCGAATGCATGCTTTTTGTGTGTACAAATCATTTATGGATCTGGTCCCAGGTGTGAGCAACATGTGGCCCGTCCCTCTCCTCTGAGCTCTGAGGGTTTGGGAATGTGGAGATGAGCCAGCGACAGGCACTCAATAGTTTAATAATAATTTAATAATGAGTCAAAGATGTAAATGGTTCAGATTTGAGTTCTGTATCTTTTAAAGCAGCATTGAATAATTAGTGTCTTACACCGTTGCAGCTTAAAGTTTATCACCTTGTGGATATAATGTATGAATATTTATTTAATATCAAGTGAAATCAAATGTGTGAAAGCGTCATCATAAAATCAATTTCCTCAGTCTCCCAATTGTCTGTACGCATGAGTCTCTGTACAGGTGCACACATTCTCTTTCAAGTTTGTTTTCATGAATCTCACTCCTGTCTGAAGTGCCATGTGCATGTTTCAAGCCCTGTTTTGTGCATATGCAACAGTCATAAATGAGGCCCGAGGTCTTTTGCATGTCATTGTTGTCTTGATGTGAAGAATTGTAGAAATGGTGATTGTACTCGGTTGAACATGCTAAATGTGATGTGAGGTCATTTTATGATGAGCTTCAGTTATAAAAATTATTGACCGCAGCCATCCCTGATTCTGCCATTGGAAAAACGTTTTGTTTGTTTTCCTTTTTATTGTAAAATGCCTACTGCATATCAGTAAATGATGATGATGATGACTCTCAGTTCTCCCAATCCTACAAACAGCTGTTATCAGATCTTGCTTTTGAGCAGGAGGAATGAATGTTCCAGACTGTTCCAGAATGTTCCAACTTTTCACATTGGTGATTGGTGACTTTTTTAGCTCCAGTGTAAAAATTTGGGTCACACCCAAAAATTTGCTGTTGGCAACACAAACAGTATACAAACATCCACCATTTGCTTTTTAGTTAGAGTACAAGAACATGATAGGCAATACATTGTGATGGAAACTTGTTTTAGGAGAATATTTTGAGACTTGAAGGATGATTTAGGACTATAGAAATTATTTATTGTATTTTAGACACTGATATTTAAGTTTTATAGCCTTGGGCTTTAGGCTGCATTGGTATAAAATGCATTATATTAACACATTATATGTATTTGTTGTATCACCAATTGCACAAAAAATAATGAGAGGGGAAAATGCTTCAACTCTGTATTCCATAGTTGCTGATGACACACTTTCATTGAAATGGGTGTGAAAGTGAAGCAGCTCTGCTCTGTGAAGCCTGTGGGGTAGAATGACTGCAGTGCAACAGGAAGAATCACAGGACATTGGACACAGAAATACTGTATGTTCACTGTGTAGGGCTGTTGCTGCTAAGAAGACAAAACCAAGAACCCAGATTTATGGTACAGTGTCCTGCTTCAGACATCAGCTGCTGTCACAATTTTAGTGCCACTGTGTAGTTTTATACTAATCTGGAGAAATGCTGAAGAGAGGCAGAAGGACCAAACCATCCTTTTCATTGATCAGAGCTGCAAATAATATCTACCATGGCTGTGCTTAAAATAGATATCAATGTTATTTATCATAAATTTGTCATAAAACAAAAACATTTTGAATTGCCACTAAACCATGTCGGACATTACAGGGAACCTGATAAACAAATCTAGTCACATAAACACATACTAGAACATAAAGCATGGAACACTTTTGCTGAATTGTTTGAATATTCTTAAGTAAAATTATACCATTATTATGTAATGTTGGATTTGTAGAATATAATGGCACAGATGGCCTCTCCCCCTCTCTTCCTGTCTGCATCTGTTTTTGTTGGTATTTCTGTCTCTGGTGTTTATTGATATCTCTGTTTTTCTGTTTCTCACTGTCTTTCTGTTTGAGTGATTTCTTGTCTTTTGTAACTCTCTCTCTCTTGTTTCCTCTTCCTGTTGTCACTTTCTTTCTCTATCTTACAGACGGCCCAGGGCGGTGGGCATCGCACCTTACTGTATGGACACGCTGTCCTGCTACGACACTCATACAGTGGAATGGTTAGTGAACAAGTACACAACACACACACTGTACATATACATATACACATATATATATATATGTACTGTATATATATATATATATATACACACACATGAACATTTAATCATCACAGTATAACACCAAGTCGGTTAAACTTCAGGGATATCAATCTGTCCATTTAGGAAGCACAAGTGGTTGTGAATCAATTTCACCTGCTTTGGTGCAAGTGAAAGGGACAACAGGTGCAATGGAGAGGCCAAAGCAAGACAACCCCTAAAAAGGGAATGGTTTTACATGTGGTGGCCACAGACAATTACTCTCTCCTGATCCTTCCTGACTGACTGCATAAGGCAGTACCTGCAGACCAGTCAGGTTGCACTGGTAGTCCAGCTCTTCCAGGATGGCACATCCATATGTGCGGTCGACATGAGGAGAGCTGGACAGGGCCGTAGAAGGGCATCAACCCAGCAGCAGGGCCAGTACCTGCTCCTTTGTGCGAGGAGGAACAGGAGGAGCACTGCCAGAGCCCTACAACAAGACCTCCAGCAGGCCACTGGTGTGCATGTTTCTGACCAAACTGTCAGAAACAGACTTCATGAGGGTGGCATGAGGGCCCGACGTCCTTTAGTAGGACCTGTTATCACAGCCCAGCACTGTGCCGCTCGATTGGCATTCACCAGAGAACACCAGAATCGGAAGGTCTGCCACCAGTGCCCTGATCTCTTCAGAGATGAGAGCAGGTTCACACTGAGCACATGTGACAGGCATGAAAGAGTCTGGAGATGTGTTATGCTGCCATTCACATACACACTACTGAGACACATTATGAATTGCTGTGATGAAATTCACGCAAGTCGGATCAGCCTGTGATAAAATTTTTTCACTTTGATTTTCAGTGCTATTGTGAATCCAGCCCTCAGTGGGTTGATCATTTTGGTTTCCATTGACCACTGTTATGTCATTTTTTTCTCAACAAATTATAATGTACAATGTACATGAGTAAAGATATTCAGTTTGATAATTTGTTCATCGAGAACCGATGCGTAAATGTACAGCGGATATAAAAAGTCTACACACCCCTGTTAAAATGCCAGGATTTTGTGATATAAAAAAATGAGACCAAGATAAATCTTTCAGAACTTCCTCCACCTTTAATGTTACCTATAAACTGTACAATGCAATTGAAAGACTGAAATCTTTTATGGGGGAACATTAAAATAAAAAATAGAAAATCTTGTAAGAAGATTTAAGTTTTGGAATGGCCCAGCCAGACCAGACCTGAATCCAACTGAAAATCTTTGGGGTGAAAAAAGAAATAGGTGAAAAATGATCTCCAATTACTCCAATTTATTTGCACCTAGAATTGATAATCTCAGGGTACGTGATCTATGTGGGACAATCCTTTACACACATTTCACACAATTGGAGAGCTTTGTGTAAAGACATAGTTTTCTAAGTTTATGCATAGTTAATAGATGATCTAGTTGATCTGATATATTAACTAAGTTTGATCAATTGTGATTCTCTGTTTAGTACCTATGCTGTCTGTCAACCTCCCGCTCATCCACAGACAAACTGGCTTTTGATGTGGGACTACAGGAAGATACCACAGGTAGGAGGCAAACTGATTTCTGTACCTATGAGGATTTCTACAGTCACAGCCAAATGTTGGATTATGTTGATATTAACCCTTTAGACTTTACTTACTGCCATACTTAAATTTTAAAGCTGTACTAATCAATATGTTTTCTAATCAGCAACACATCAATGACAACATGTAATGTGAGTCACTCATAGTGATGAACCCATAGAGAATAATCTCTGAACTCTGCTGTTCCTCTTTGCACTGTGTAGCCTCTGAGGCATTTTTCAAATCACTGTTTTGGTTCGGAGAAGCAGCTGTAAAAAGCCACTGTCCGCTACCTGCCCAGCAGCAGGCAGCAGACAGAAATAGTCAGTGAGCAGCTGGTGAACATGGTGGAGCATTTAGCAGCTAAAGGACAGATATTTCCCTCAGGAGTTGTTAGAGTTCAAAAACTGAGCTAAAAAAGAGGCAATGCTGGACTTATTCATAAGGTGGAAACAACCACCATGCCACATGAAAGATCATGTTGCTGTGTGTCTGCTGGATGTGGAAATGGGCAACTGTTTGCTTACACATTCCACTGTAAAAATTGCTACTAAGACTTAATTCAAAAGAATGAATGCAACATTTCCCCAGTCTTTGTAAGTTTAGTTAAGTACTTTAAGATGCAAAACTTGATAATATACAGTAACTGTAAAAACTGACATGGACCTTCATAAAAAAGCTTAGAAAATGAGTTCAATAAACTTTACTAAAGTCAGCATATTTGTCTTATCAGCCATGACTACCAGTGGTGATTGCAACATGGATAACAAACTACAAGCATAACTGACTTTGTTGTCTTTGCTAGCAGTTAAATTCTGCATCTTAATGCTACAACTGCCTTTGCTGTTCCTTATTTGTAGTATTTCTGCAAAAAATCAACTGCAGAGTTGGCAATCTGCTTCCTGTTTACATTGGCACGTGCATGCCCAGTGTACATGAATGGTCATGTGATATGCATTTTCAGATGTGTTAGTGTGGACAAGGATTATTTCTGATACGGAGCAAAAACAGTCTAGATAGAGATTGTTTTTGTTGTGAAACAAAAAATGGAAAGGTATCGGTGTGGCTGTAGCCTGAGAGGGTCTGAGCCGCTCTGAGCCTCTCTTCTGATTGGCCAACTGACACAAAACACCATATAATTCACTGTCCACCTGTACCACCATGGATTTTACCCACTCAAGAAATAGACTGTAGTGTCTCAGAAACAGTAAGGTAGTACAGGGTAGTACTGCTGCATGGTGACATAGTAAAGGAAAGGTTAAAGAACAACTGGGAAAATTATCTCCAAATTTATACAGACGGGGCCCAAGACCCAAAACTGTAAAATCAGGGTTTGCCTTTTACATTCCAGATTTGAAAATTATAAAATAGAAACTACTGTCTGGGGGGGTTTCAGTCTGTAGCCTACAACAGAATTAATGGCTAAAATATGGGCATTGCAATCGATTGAGGAGGTGAAGCTGAAGCAAGCTGTCATATTTTCAGATATGGCTTCAGATCTGATGATACTTAGGGAATGAGGCAGCTGATATGGCAGCTAAAAAGCCAGTGAAGTGAGGGATTGATGTGAGAGTACTCCATGGGACATATGTGTACAGATCCATCATCAAGAGAAACAACAGCTGTGTGGCACAAAGAATGGGAGAATGAAAGGAAGCGGCATCACTCTTCACTGTACAAAATAGTATTAAGAAAGAACATTGTTATTTTGGGAGAGAGAGGAACCACACAGTTGTTATTACTAGACTGAGTCTGGGACAATGTGCTGGCATGGAACTTGCAGAACTGAAACATATACACATGCAACTGTTACATGGAAGAGGAGAAAGGCTGTATGCTGCAGCATCATCCCTAATCACAAATACCAGTACAATAGGGAACCTGGACTTATTCCCACCAAGAATAAGTCCAGGATTGTGAAAGTAGTGCTTGAATTCGTCACTGTGACAGGATTACACCTGTGAAAATAAAATTGCTACGAACTGCAACCTGGTCACAATCTGATTTTTACACCGATTACGGCTTATAGTTGAATCATGTTTGTTCTTTGCCCTTCATTAAACAAGACGACAATTTATCTGTGAGTGCCAGCATTCTGTTTGTTCTGGTTAGATGGCAATGACCATGCAACCAATACATTGCTTGAGTATTTTGGAGCTGTACACACTGCTACTCTCTACTATATCTGCAATCAGATCCCAACCTGTGAGAGGCAGTAGTGTGCCGCAAGGCATCCAGTCTGCTGGAAACTCAGAAGAAGAAGAAGCACGGGCAAGTGACGGACAGAGAACAGTCGTGTACTGGTGGAGAAAGGCTGTATGCGGGTATTCAGGCTGCAACAGTCCAACAAGGTGCTCTCCAGAGGTCGAGGCGGAGGCCGGCGTGGCAAGCGGAGCCCCTCATGAGGGCGAACAGGAGGACGGCGGTGGAGACAGGGTCTCTCTGGAGGTCGAGCCGGAGGATGGTGTCGGTTGGACCACTGACTGGGAACCAGAAACCAGCTGGGCCACCGACAGAACAGGAGGAGCAGGTATTGGCTGGACTGCCAGCTGGAAATCAGGATCAGGTGTTGGCCGGACCACTGACTGGGAACCAGAATCGGGAATCAGATGGACCGCTGATGGGACACAAGGAGCAGGTGTCGGCCGGACCACTGACTGGACTGCCAACAGGACACTAGGAACAGGATTCGGCCGGACCACCAACAGGACACTAGGAACAGGATTCGGCCGGACCGCCAACAGGACATGGGGAGCAGGAATTGGCTGGACCGCCAACAGGAAATGATAATAATAATAATAATAATAATAATAATACATTTTATTTAAAAGGTGACTTTCTTGTCACTCAAGGACACCATACAGAGTTACACAAATTGACATTAAAAACACATTAAAAAGAAGCAACAATAAAAATGAAATGTAAAAATAAAAACAATACAAAAGTGATAGAGCAATTGGCATCAGATGGAAAAGGCAGTTCTATTTTATATCAGGTCAACACGCCACCGTATGGGTCACTCTCTCCGAGGGTGAGCTGTTTCAGGAGACAATTAGAAAATTAACACCTCCACCCTTTGGGCTCAATCAGAGCCTACAAATACAGCTGCGCGATCACCTGCCCAGTCTCTTTTTCTCCTCCTGGAGCGGGGTGTGTGAGTATGGTTTTCAGATTGAGACGAGATATCGTGTGATTTTGGGAGATTGATTTATCTGCCTTCTTCTTACAGAAACTGCTTATTGCTTGCGGTAAAGAGAAGAAGAGTGCGCGGATGTTTTTTGGATTTTCGATCTTTGTGTGGCGCTGCGGGGAGCCTCTTTTCCCGGGAGGGAGAACGCTTCCTCACGGCTGTACTGTTGTAAAAACGAAAAGAAAACGAAGGTAAGGTGCCTTATCTGTGTTCAAGCTGAGAGGGGCCGCTGCGTCCGGAAGGTCATACACTACCTGAGGCTTTTTTGTTTTTGCCACACTTGTGTTTTTGTTTTTGTTTTTGTTTTTTCGTGCTGAGAGGAGCCGCTGCGTCCGGGAGGTCGCACGCTACCTGAGGCTTTGTTTCATTCCCTTGTTTCACCTTGCGTCCGCTGGGCAGTCTTGGCTTGCCAGACCATGTCACAGGACGGCGAGGGTTTTTACTCTCCATCCCTTGCCCTGGGCCAGGCCCATCAGCTGGCTGAGCTGGAGCCGCAGGTGGTGTGTGATCCGCCGCTTGAGGAAGGGAGGCGGCGCGCACGGAAGAGGAAGTGCCCAGTGGAGCTTGAGCAGCTACAGCGGCGGGTGCAGTCTATGCAGGATACCCTTCAGGAGCTGGTGCATGCACAGCGTCCTTTAGGGCTGCATACCATGACCAGGCCAGATCCTGGGGACGGGGATAGGAATCCAGATGTGCTCTCTATTGCAGCCTCTGACAGTTTGGAAGGTCTGCACAACCCCCAGTCCGAGGAGGATGATCAGTCACTCTGACTTGGGGGATGCTTCTGTGCCTGAGCAATTGGACCCTTCTGATAGAGTTGTGATTGCGAGGGCGGCAGCACGCGCACAGCTGTCCTGACAAGCTCCACTTCCAGCTACTTCAGTGTTCGACAGGGGCTCATGGCGGCGCAGGTCAGATGGGCTCCCTGTCCTTCCTGACTTTATGTCAGAGCTGCAGGCATCATGGAGCGCTCCTAGCTCTACAGCCCTTCCGATGTCCCAGCTGGCCAACCTTACAGGGGCGGATACTCATGGGGTGGCCACAGCCCCCCAAGTGGGCCCGACCTTTGCTATGTTAGCAGGCGCTGTGACAAGGGCTGGCAGGGATGCCACTCACCCTAACAGACGCTGCAGGGCAACTGATAACCAGCTCCGCAGAGCTTATCATGCCTCAGCTCTGGCGGCCAGGTTGGCGTGCACCGATTCCTTGTTGTTGCTTTATTTGGAAGGTCTGCTGCAGAATTTGGCTTCAGCAGCCCCAAGTGATGAGATGGCTAAGATGCTCCGTGTGGCAGACATGTTTCTGCGGGGTACCAGTGCACATGCCCGAGCCCTTGGTCAGTCGATGGCCTCCATGGTCCAGGCATGGCGCCAAGTCTGGCTGTCGCAGTCTAATCTGTCCGACCAGGACTGCATTGCTGTGCTGGCGGCTCCAGTGGTGCCTGGAGAGGTCTTTGGTCCACCCTGTGAGGTGGCCTTGGAACAGTCCCGTAGGATGAGGGAGCTGACGCGCTCTGTGAGGGATGTACCACCCTCACGCTTGCGCTGGGGTCGTGGGTCCAAGCTCTACGGCCTCCAGGGTGCCGCAGCTTGCCACCCGGGATTTCCTGGCGAGGGGAAATCTGACTCGCCAACGTTCCTTTCGCGATGACCGCACGGGAACTGCTCACCTTGGGGGCACCAGACCTCAGTCAGCTGGTGGTCAGGGCCGTCGCTGATGGTTGCCAGCCTCCGGCCTCACACTTCACTCCTCAGCACCTTGCTCACTGGCGCCAGTGTACTCAGTGCCCTTG